CAGAAATTTTCTGGGAGTCCAATCCCTGCGGCACGTGGCCTCGAGGGCAGCCTGCAGGACTTGGTGACCCCGAGGTCTTCCGAGGTGTCTCTCCCTTGCAGGTGCTCTCGAGGCCAGAATTTGGGATGGCGAGAAGACGCCTGAGCCTGCTCAGGCCCTTTCAGATGAAGAAGAAGGAAGGCCCTGGAGGTTCCCCATCACAGCCCCCTGAGGAGATGGAGCAGTTGCAGGCCTTGCAGGAGGGTGAGTGGCAGAGCTGGGCCGCAGGGCCGGTGGCTGCAGCCAGCTGGGCCTCTTCCCATCCCATCCCCTGTGGGCATACCCAGAAAAAAGGAGGGGGCAAGAGGGCTTGGGGCTGATCCCCCGGCAGTTCCAGGCACTGGGCATGCCGGGCTGCCCTGCCTGTGGACAGCAGGGCTGGGCTGTGTTCTCCGGCCTGTCCCGCAGCCCCTCAGCTCTGACTGTGCTCGCTCTCTGCCAGATCCAGGCCGGGACAGGACACAAGAGCAGGACTGTGCCCGTGGCCGCTTCCGCAGGGCAACACAGGTAGCTGCAGCCATCTCCCCCGGGCTGGGCCTGCTGTCCCCGCTCAGCCTGGCACCGCTGTCACAGCTCTCCATGGCCCATCCCTCTCTTCCCTGCCCTTTGTTCTCCTGCAGGCCTTTCTGAAATTCATCGGGATTCGGCGTAGACAGACCAGGATCACACCAACTGCGGTCCTGGCACAGCCTGATTCCACGCCCAAGGAGCTCGAGGCAAAGGCCGATGTCGGCACCGTGTCCATCGATGGCCCAGCAAACTGCGATGGCGCGGTGACCGATGACAGGACAAACTCCTACACCGCACGGCCCGAGCTCCCCACAGAGTCTGATGCCACAACGACTGAGGGCATCGTAGGCGCTGAGAGCACAGCCGTTCAGTGCCTGCCCGATGCTGCCAGTCTGGACATTCCTGGGGAGAGAGTTGTCTCTGCTCAGGTAAGCAGCCTGTGGGCAGGGATTGTGTGGGCCCTCAAGCCAGGTCTGCTGGGCCCCCTCAGCCTTTGAGGCCAGCAGAGTGTGGTGGGGAGGGAGGCACTTCTCAGGGGAAACTGGGCAAGTTGCTCCCTCTGGCAGCTCTCCAACTGCTCCATGCCCCCTCCGGGCCACACTTTGGCCAGACTGCATGACCTGGAGTGTTCCTGAACCTCCTATGTTGTAGGAGCCTTCAAGGTACTTCTGCAGGACTCGGTGACCCAGAGGATTTCTGTGCCATCTCTCCTGCAGGAAGCCATGAAGCCAGACAGAGACATGGAGCAGAGCCCCCCCAGGGTGCCCAAGCTGGCCTGGGTGAAGAAGGGCGAGGAGGTGGAAAGCCCTGGGCCTGCTCCACAACAGCAGCCTGGGGAAGAGCAGGACCGTGCCCGTGGCCGCTTCCGCAGGGCAGCA